TTCAAAGGGGGGTGATGTCAGGGGAACCTCCCTTTCGGCCCGGAGACGCGCCCGATTCCGGTCCGACTCCGGTTCCGACTCCGGTCCGGCCCTCCATCTCGCCCGCACAATCACCGATCCGTCAACGCCCTCCCGACGGTCGCCCTGGGACCTCGCCTGCGACGCCGCCCAAGCCTTCTGTGCCCGACAGCGGCAGCTACGGACAAGCAGTATATAGTCAGCTACCTAGCAGGCGGACCCTTAGAGTTTCTTCTCTTTGGATCCTCCCCTGCTAGGTCAGCTTCATTTGTATTCGCTTACCAATGTTCACGCTTTGGATCCTCCCCTGCTAGGACCTTGATCTCAGGCCTCCGGGGTTGCCCTTACACCTCCGCTTATCGCATTCAGCACCTTGCCGGGTCCACCGACTATCCCACATGGGCTGTCAAGCTCACCGACATCTTGACAGATCTTCAGCTCGATGACTATCCAAAGGGTCGCATTCTCAAGCCTGGCGCCGCAGCGCCTGTCGTCGTCGTTTCGCCTCCAGCAGGCACCGGCACAGCCTCCGCCCAGCAAACTGCTGCAGCCGCGCCCGCGGCACCTGCTTCCACCAGCACACAGACTGTCGCTGAGTGGGAACGCAAGGACCGCCAGGCCCTGTCAGCCATCCGACTTCGCGTATCAGACGGCCCGGCTCGTCTACATCACCAACTGCACCACCTCCAAGGATGCGTGGGACACATTGGAGAAGATGTACCGACCGCGCGGCGCATTCCTGCTGTCGTTCTCCTGCGCCGGAAGCTCTTGCATCTCCAGTGCCCAGAAGGCAGCGACATCGAAGAGCACATCCGGAAGCTCACTGCACTCCGGACACAAATCCAAGCCCTCGGCTCTAAATTTGAAGAAGACGAGTTCTCCACGGCCCTCCTCACATCCCTCCCGGAGTCCTGGAACTCATTCATCCAGACTGTCGACACCTCTTCCTTCACCGACTCTGCCCCGATCATCGCGCGCATCCTCGAGCAGGATCGCCAAAAAACACGCCAAGCCCAACTCAGATGCTGTCGCGCTACCCGCCAAACCCTTCAAGCCCAACAAGTCCCGCGCGGACACCGTTTGCTATGGGTGTGGCCGACGCGACACATGGTTGGCGATTGTCGGGACACGAAGAAGGGCAAGAAGTTCACGGAGGAGCAGAAGCGCCAGAATTACCAGCGGTCCCTGGGAAACGGCAACGGCCAGTCGGGCCGTGCTCACGTCACGGAGGTGACATCATCTCCTGACGAAACGGCTAACTATGCCTTCACTGCCGCCCCGTCTCTTACCACCGGCCTGGATGTATGGCTCGCTGATAGCGGCACCACTAAACACATAGCTCGTAATAAATCTATCTTTTCCTCGTATACGGAGACCCCCGGCCAGTTTGTCACCGGCTTCGGCGCAATGCCAAGCCCCGGTATCGGCAACGCCGAGATCGCTTCCCACGTAGGCAACAACGCCTACTCGCTCACACTCAAGAACACACTGCACGTCCCCGACGCGCCGTACAACCTCATCTCTATCGGTTGTCTCACGGCTGGCGGATGCTCTGTCGAATTCTTGGGCGACACCATGAAGGTCTTCGCACCGGGCTCCAAACGCGAAATCATGCGCGGCACGCGCACCGGTAACCTATACAAGGTCCGCATCACGCGATCATCACGGACGCCGGCGCCACCCGCATCACCTCCCTCTATCGCACTCCCATCCGTCTCTCCTCCGTCTCACTCCTGGGACAAATGGCACCGTATCTTCGGCCACATGCAACATAAGTCAGTCAAGTTGCTCTATGACAAAGACATGGTCACCGGTATGAAGGTTGACGCGTCCAGCACGCCGACTTCCCACTGCGACATCTGCGTCAAGGCCAAGTCTCACGTCATGCCATTCCCTGCGAAATCTGACACAAAATATACGGAGATTGGCGAGATGACGTTTACCGACGTCTGGGGCCCATCCCAAATCACTGGGATCGACGGCTCCCGCTATTATGTTTCATTCACGGACGCTGCAACACGCCGCACTCTTGTTTACTTCATGAAATTGAAGTCAGAAGTCAAAGACAAGATGCGCGACTATGACCAGTATGTCCAAACTCAGACCGGCAAACGCGTCAAATGTTTCCGCTGCGATAATGGGGGAGAATACGTCAATCAGGACGTCAAAAACTTCCTCGCCGAGCGTGGCATTCGTCTCCAGCTCACGGCTCCTTATTCCCCATCTCAGAACGGCGTCGCCGAGCGCCTCAATCGGACGCTAATCGAGCATGCCCGTGCCATGCTAGCTGCGCACAATCTCCCACTCTTCCTGTGGCCCGAGGCAGTCGCGTACGCTGCTTACCTGAAGAACCGGTCGCCAACTGCCGCTCTCGCCGAATTCATCACGCCGGACGAGGCTTTCTGGAAGCGCAAGCGTCTCCGCTCTCCAGGAGTTCGGCACACCTTGTGAAGTCCTCAAACAAGGTGCCGCTGTCTCCGGCAAGCTCCCTGTCAAGACACGGCCATTCGTCTTCACCGGCCTGTCCGACGAGTCAACGGCCTGGCGCTACTACAACCCCGAAACTCGTTCTATTCAAACTACTCGCAACATCAGCTTTGCTCCGGACACTTCAACAGCTCCACTAACCTCCTCCACCATCACCAAGCCTGCGTCAATGCCGCTCGAGGGGGAGAATGAGCCTGTCGCGCAGCCATCGCCGCCGGCCCCGGTCGATCAGCCCGCCGATCCGAGCATCGCCACCCCCACACCCGTCATTCCCATGTCTCGGCAACCGCTTCCCCGGTCCGCAAAGACCACGCTGGACTACCGGCTGCTGAACAACCCGGACGCCCGCTCGCCCAAGAAGCCTGACGCGTGGAAGCATCGCGTCGCTTCCCATGATGCGCCGAACGTCGCGCTCGCCGCTCGTGTCGATCCCCTTGCGGATCCACTCACTGTTGCTGAGGCACAAGCGCGCGCCGACTGGCCGGAATGGCAGCAGGCCATGGAGGAGGAGATAAACCAGCTGCGCACGCTGGGCACCTATACCATGCAGGATCTCCCTGCTGGCCGCTCCGCCGTCGCATGCAAGTGGGTTTTCCGCGTCAAACGCGATGACGCCGGCAATATCATTCGCTACAAGGCAAGGCTCGTCGCCAAGGGCTTTTCACAAGTCCCTGGCATAGATTTCGACGAGACCTTCGCGCCGGTCGTCCGGATCGAAACCATCCGGCTCCTACTCGCCCTCGCGGCACGCTACAATCTCCAAGTCCACGTTGTCGACGTTGTTGGTGCTTACCTCAACGGCCAACTGGACGAAGAGATCTACATGCAACAACCCCCGCTCTTCGAAGATGGAACGGCACGCGTCTGCCGCCTCCTCCGCACGCTCTATGGGCTTAAACAGTCCGGACGCGTGTGGAACATTCAACTCAACGCGTCATTCATCAAACTTGGCTACACGCAGCTCATCTCCGACCAATGCGTCTACATCCGCCGCGACGGCAACGACATCGCCATCATAGCCGTCCACGTTGACGACATGACGATTCTCGCATCGTCAGACGCGCTCATGGCCCGTGTCGAAGCCGAACTCGATGCTGAGTTCACCATCAAGAAGCTGGGGGAGATCCGCCAACTTCTTGGCATGGAAATCACGCGCACCGCCGACTCCATCCGCCTCACGCAAACCCAGTACATCACGCGCATCCTGGAGAAATACCAGATGCACAACGCCAACACCGTTGCCACTCCGATTGACCCCAGCGTCAAGCTCACCAAGCTCTCTGACGACAAATCTTACCCCGACGTCAAACGCGTCTACCAGAACATGATCGGCTCGTTGCTATACGCGGCCATCACCACCCGACCCGACATCTCCTTTGCCGTCCAGTCGCTCAGCCAGTTCAACACTAACCCTGGCCCCGAGCACCTTACGGCCGCCAAGCGTGTCTTCCGCTACCTCAAGGGTACACTCAACCTCGGAATTGAGTACAAGTCGGACCATCCGGTCACCGCGCTTGAACTATTTTCTGATGCTGATTGGGGCAGTGACACTGACACCCGCAGGTCTATCACCGGCTACGTCTCCACGTTCGCTGGGGGAGCTGTAACCTGGAACTCCAGGAAGCAGGCCACCGTCGCTCTCTCGAGCATGGAGGCCGAGTACATGGCTCTCGCGAGCGCAACTCGCGAAGCTCTCTGGCTCCGCACCCTCTTCTCGGGCTCGACACATCCCTTCCCACGCACATCTCTGTCGACAACCAGGGCACCATTCTCTTCGCCGAGAACTCCGGTTTCCACGCCCGCTCCAAACACATCGACATCCGTTTCCACTTCATCCGAGAGACTATCGCCTCTAACAAGGTCTCAGTTTCCCACGTGCCAACGGACGAGAACACCGCGGACATTTTCACGAAGGGCTTACCTCGAATCAAGCACGAACATTTCCTCCTGCTCCTCGGGATGTATCGCGCTTGAGGGGGAGTGTTGAGGATATGCCCGGCCGGCCGGCCGGACCATCCACGGTCACATGACCTCGGACTGACTCGCCTCCAACGCGGCTCAGTCAGCACTTAGCAAGACTTGTAGATAGTTACAGAACATTCTAGATACTCTTACTTGTAGTATATATACTGGGCTGAAAGCCCCCAATATCATCTCATTCTTGTTCTCTCCGGTTCATCTACTCTCAACAGATGTCCTCCCAGAGCTCGACGGGAAGGATTTCGAGCAGCGGCCGTGCCGGAGACATACGTGAGGGAGGGAAGGGCGTTCATGGCATGTCGTTCTCGTTATATAGCAGCGGCGGCTCTCACGAGACCAGAACAGCTCGACGGCGGCAATAGCGCCGGCCGTCAAGTTTCAACTGTCCCAGTCGAGAAGCAATCGTCAATACTTAATGCCATTCAAGTTGATCGCATATGCCATACCCGAGCGATCCCTGCCGCCGTGCCGGTGGTGGGCAGCATGCGTCGATATCATCTAAGCGGACCCTTTCTATTTTTCCTGCTGCGTACAACAAATATATATAGCAATATCTCCCCGTCGATCCGTAATCCCAGAATAAGTATACTTATCCGCCGCTCAGGCGCCTTTGGTGACGATGGCGGGGTGCGCGGTCGCGGCGTTAGCGACAGCGACGGTGTGCAGCGCGCCGTTGCACGTGGCCGTGCGCGTCCAGGCCCCGGCTGCAAAGGTTTAAGGATCAGCCTCAGCAAAACGAATGAGGGAATCACTCACATGCGCCTCCCGGAGTCTCGTTATAGTTCCACTGGTTGGCGGTCCAGATCGCGCCGCTGTACGACACGACTGCGCCGGCGGTATAAGCTGTAGTCGACGACCATGCCGCCGCGCTCGAGCATGATCCTCCGCCGCCACCGCCAGTTGTCGTCGTTGTTGTGGTCGTCTTCGATGTAGTAGTGCCCCCTCCTCCTCCCCCCCGCCGCCTCCTCCGCCTCCGACGGGGAAGGACTGCGAGCGCACGGTGGTGATCCAGCCGCTGTCCGCGTTGGGATACTGCCACGTCATCGCGCCCGCGCTCCAGCCCTGGTTCTTCGCCTGCGCCAAGCACGCCGCGAGCGTGCCGGGGTCCATGTACCCGTTCGTCGCGTCCGCCGTCGTGCCGGGCTTCCCGATCACGATCTTGTTCAGCGGCACGCCGTTCGCCGCGATCTGGAACACGGACGACTGTGGCCACTGGCTCGAGGAGGAGGTCAGCAGGCCGGAGCACGTGGTGTACTCCGACGAGCCCTGGTTGTAGAACTGCACGTTGTACCAGTCGATGAGGCTGCCGACCTGCTGGTGCACGCCGAGGTAGCCGTTGCCCGGCCAGATGTTGGGCGTGAACCACGGCGCGACGGGCGCGTGCGTGATGATGTACTGCCCCTGCGGCAGCTGCGCCCTCAGCGCCCGTGTGAACGTCGACAGCCACGCGACCGCCGTGCCGGACGTCTCCAGCGCGCCAAAGTCCTCGTAGTCGACGTCGACGCCGTCGAGCCCCGTGCTCTTGACAAAGTTCGCGATGTAGTTCGCCGCGGCGGTCGGGTCGTCGCCCGCGCTCGTCGGGTTCGGGCCGGCGCCGTACGCGGACACGATCAGGCTGATCCCCGCCGCGGCGTATTGCGACTTGATGCTCGCGCGCGTCGCCGCGTCGAACTGGCCCCACAGCGCCGCGTTGTCCTGCAGGCTCCCCGAGTAGATGAACGCGAGCGCGAACACGTTGAAGCCCTGTGTGCCCATAAACTTAAGTAGTTAAGTAGTAGGAAGACACGCACGTTGAGCTGGGCGGGGGACGGCAGGCTGTTGTACGACACGTACTTGTCAAAGTACGCGACCCAGCGCGTGGCCGGGACCGCGCGCGAGGACAGCAGCAGGTCGCGTGCGAGCGGGCTGAGGCCGTCGGCCCGAGCGCCGAGCGTCGCGTTCAGGCCCAGCGGGACGGCGCCGACTAAGGCCACGAGCGCGGAGAGCAGGGACACGAGCGCGCCAGCAAAGCGGACCATGGTTCGTCGCTTGTGCTTTCTGAGGGGCTGAGAGGCTCGCCCTGCCCCCCCTTCTGCGCTGCCTTAAATCCCCCCGGGGTGCTCCCGATAAGGCAGGCGTCAGTGGATGGCTTCCATCCACGCGAACCTGCACAACCCCGAGTGCGCCGTGAATTGTTCAGCTGCCGGGGGGCTATCAGCGTGCCCACGGGGGGGGCTCGAGCGCGTGGCGGCGCAGGCCGGATGCGGTCCTGCCTGCGTGGTCGCGCGTCTTCTGCGTGATGGGGGCCAACCGCGTTATCTGCCCGCTGATTGCGGCCCGTCCGCCTGACCAGCGCGCAGGTGCTGTTCGCTTGTTCGTTGGGGGACAGACGCCATGATCGTCGTCAATGACGTCGCTGTCGCTGTCGATCCGTACACCCCTTGCAATGGCGCAATTGCGAGTGTGTCCGTTGGAGCTGCGGTCTCGCGTTGGCCAGCGGCGCGGAGAAACAACGCTGAGTCTACGAGCCGCCGGCCCTGCGTCCACTCGTCGCCGCTTCGATTTCGATTCCAAGTTCGCGAAGCAGACTACCGGAACTAGTCCAAAGCGAGAAGCCTCCGTCGTCAAGGCGCACCCGGCACCGCGCCCGAAAATAGACTATCAGGGAGAAGCAGTTGCGGTCGTGTGGCCGGGGATTTGATCGATATTCGCCGGCAGGCTCTGCAGCGTGCACTGTGCATATGGACGCAGTGTCGCCGATATCGATGCATACCACCTATAGTGCACCCTAATACCCTCTAGTTAGAGGGATAGAGTGGGGTACTCTCTCCCTCTAACTAGAGGGGGTTGAGCCAGTAGCGGGCACCCCCGCTAAATATGGCTACCAAGGCCGGTCTTGGTAGCGGGGAAAGAGCCCCGGAGGCTGCCATCACCCTCCCGGCTGCCTCCCCGCCCCCGCCAGTGTGCGCGCTGCCCGCCCGCCGCCCCCAGGGCCTCGGCGTCGTCGTCACGATCGTGACTTATGTCACCGATCGTTGATTGACGTCGCCGATCGCCGCCCGCTGTCGTCGGCCGCGGAGCTTCTTGCCCGCCGCTGTCAGGCACCCCGCCGCCGCTGTCAAATAGTCCGCCGACGTCGTGCTCAACGTTGCCCTCGACGGTGAGCTCAGTTCTCCATCATTTTCGATCAAATAAATTGATTTCTAATCAAACTTGATGATCGCAACACCATGGCGGTGTCATCGCTGTCATCAGCTGATCCCGCCCTCCCCCCGACGCCCGCCCGACGCGCCCCGACGCGCCCCCCGACGCCTCCCGCCCCAAAAATGAAAAAGCTGCGGAATGTCACGAAAGCCATCCCAGTACAAACCGCTTATTAATAGCTGTGTTCGTTTAAGAGATATTAATAAAAGTCGTTAACTCAATTAAAAGTCGTTAACTCAGTCCATCATGATCCGCCGATCCCGCCCTCCCCCGACGCGCCCCCCGACGCCTCCCGCCCCAAAGTGAAAAAGTTGCGGAATGTCACGAAAACCATCCCAGGACAAACCGCTTATTAATAGCTTCATTCGTTTAAGAGATATTGATAAAAGTCGTTAACTCAATTATAAAGTCGTTAACTCAACCCGTCCGCCCGTGACCTTGGTTGCTCAGTGCTGAACCCGGCCCGCCCCCCACCCCATCAGGTGCCCAATGTGTCCCAACCCTAGCATCAGAAAGTTGCTTAGTGCAAGCTGCTACTTCGAGTGTTCTATCTGTTCCGATATTTAATACGAATTGTTAACTCAATTCCCTGAAGAATCAGTTTACTTCAAGCTGTACCACAGAGAATATAGATCCTTCTAAAAGTACCACTGGCTCAATGGATATATGTAGTTGTTGTGGAATATAAGTCGTTAACTCAATCGTTCGGAGAAGTTAGTCATCCCTCCCCAGGCTCAGCAACACATGTGGAGCTATAGAAGGTCATCCATGTACTATTTTTCCCTTTGACCTATGATTTAGTGCAGAACAGTCAATAAAACTCATTAACTCAATCCCGTTTACCATGCACTTGCCCACACAGCTCCAAGTGCAACAGATCAGATATTTGTCCACAACGTAGACTTTTCTTCTTTCTACTCAAACAATAAATATTGGTCAAAAAAATTCGTTGTTAACTCAATTATTACATCAGAGATTTTCAAGAGATTTACTTGTCCTTTCCTCGTAACCAGGCCGTATTCTTTGAAATGACAGCCACCGCAAGCTTCTTGGACTCCCGAACAGGCAATGAACGAAGAAGGGGCTCATCCGGCTCAGGATTGACCTTCCGTTTCTTCTTCGGTGGTCCAATCTCCTTCCCCCCATCCAAGTTGGCAATGTCCACCGCTCCATCTTGCCCACCCACTTGGAACACTCCCATCATCGATTCTTGAGGCAACACTTGGCTTGGCCCAGCACCATGGGACTCAGGAATGACCACTGAGGTTGAATTGTTGACTGGGGTTTGAGCATTGGCCGCTGTTGCATCCAGCTGGGGAGTGTGGGCCGCTTTGCCGGTGGCAACTCATCTAGTTGCTCAAGTGGGTCAGGCGGCAGGGAGCTGAGCTGGTCGTCCAAGACATCCAGTTCGTCGTTGAGCAGTTCGTCGTTGAGTTCGTCATCGGTTTCATGGTCGACTTGCTTGTCAGATTCGCGGGCTACGGCAACTTGAAGCGGTTTGCTGATGGAGAAGTCGGAGGACTGGAAGAAATCGGCAAAGATGGCTCCGCTTCGTGTCTGTATGATGATGGTGAAATATGTGAGATGTATCAGTGCCACACGCACCTTTCTGGTAGGCGTCCAAAGCATCTCAACGTCTAGGACAGGGTTCAGTATGGAGATGGGAGAGGAAGCGATGGGAGGAGAAACGAATGAGGATAGCGAGAGGTCAGAGCCCAGTTTGAGCTCGATGACCATGGGAGTAACGCCCCCAGTACGATGCCAGAGCCCAGTTTGAGCTCAATGGCAAGCATATTGGAGGCGGATGGGAATGGGGAAGGGTAGCGGAGATGGTCATAACTCACCTGTGCAAGACCGTGGTGAAGAACGACCCTGAAGGATGCCATCAAAAATCAACTGCACATGATTTGCACGTGATCAGGTCGACGCGTCAACAGTCTACCACCCGCCACCATCACCCGCCACCATGCCGCCCAAACGCAAACGCAACAGTACCTCTTCTTCGTCGCGCAAAATCCGTGTCTCGCTGGGCTCCGCCACTCCTGGTGGTGTCACGCGCGTATCGTCCCTCACCTCGGCAAAAGCAAGCAACCTGCAGCGGGCTCAAGAGGCTGCCGAACGAACTCGTCTTGCAGGTGTGTAGTATCTACCGACAGCTACACTGGCTAATCTGAAACAAGGTCTTAGTCGCTCACAACGACTCCGTGAACAGGCTCAGTATGACATTCCGGAGCCTGTTGCCATGGATCTAGACAACGACGAATACGAGCAGGGTGTTCTGTCTGGTGCGACACGCATAGAAATCGGTGCTGGCGGCGAGGAGAGTATGGGCGCTCTAGGAGATGAGATGAGGGAGATGTACTCGCTGTTGGCAGAGACTTACAAGTGCGTCCTTCTTTTGTTTTTTACCCTCACTCATTGGACTTGGGAGTAGTCGTCCCCATGGCAGACGAAGGCAGCGAGTACAACGTCATCGCTCGCAGAGAATCATCGACCATTTCGCCCGACAAATGGAGGCCATTGCCGATGCCGAAGAAGGGTACGGTCTTTTTGCTGGGACCTATGGCCTCGATGCACCTTATCAACTGCCGCCCGACGCTGTGGTCGAAAACGAGGTTTATCTTCACGTTGTTGATGTCTTCAGTGAGTTCCTTTTCTTTGACCATCTTCGCTGAGTTAACAACTTTAAAGAATCATCAAAAGTGCCTATCCAATATATTGCTGGCGACCAGTATATTGCCTCGGCACTCGTACGGCAGGGCATATATCCCGCCTCTCCCATTTTCCCCGCTGTCGGGTTTACCACAAGGCTCCTTTCCCTCTTCCACTCCACCCATCTTCGGTGCCCAAAGCTTGGGAAGCAAGCTTTCATTCGGTCTACTTGCGATCTCCATGGAATTGCCCCCCATCCCTACCTGGTCAAGCAGTTCACTGTGGCCTACGACGTATTCCTCCGCACGAAAGAAGTCATACGGCTCCGAGTTGCTGCTGAATTGAAGCGCGACGGGCCAAATTGGCGGGTCAAGAATGCCTGCCCCTGTTGCCTATATCGGGTGGAGGGGGAGCCAGAGCTGGCGGCGCCGGGGATGTTTGTTACGATGGATGGCAATAATGCCCTCAAACGGTTTGACCGGGAGGGAACGTCTGACCAACGAAGATGGAACTCAAGCTCCAGGTCGATCTCGAGAATCGCCTGACGACCGCAAGCCTCCTCGAGACTACTACATCCCCCGCGACATCGTCGATCGCTATGGCAAAGATCATCTATCCGAACTCATGAAGGGCTTTGTTCCGGACCCAGATTTCGATGAAGAGGGTGATGGATGTGGTGATAGCTGGCAAAACATGAAGGAGGATGTCGTGAACAAGGCCTGGGGCCTCTATGAGGAAACAGGCATATTCGTGGCCCTGTGCCGCCACAGCTTCGGAATTTTTGTGTCCGACATGGTTCGGAGTGGAGAGCTGTGAGTGGTTCAATGTCCCATATTAATTGTCGTTAACTCAATCTTCAGTGCGAAATATGGACTGGCTATTACTGCGGAGCTGCTGAAGATTGTAGGAAGACTCCTTGCGGGATACGACATTGGCTGCAAGTTCTTGAAATGGGTCAATACACATCCTCTCGTTGCACCTCTGGCAAGGCAGCACGGCTTTTCCACGGTCGTTGGCGCATTTCATGGATACGGGCACAATCGTCGGTGTCAAACTCGTCGGCTGCCATTGTACACAACTGGGGCTGGACTGGAGCCATTTGAAGAGGCCGAGTCCTACTTTTCCAAATCCAACGCACTGGCTGGGGTTACCCGATACATGTCTCGATTCCATCGGCAACAAG